CACATTATAAATCTCTATGTATAAAACTGGAGCTCCTCTGAGTAATATCCTTATAATCACACTTGATGAATTGGGAAAAGAATGCAGAACAAAATGTGTAGTAAGACGGACTTAGTTAGTTTTACTTTGTTTTCATCCAGACACCTGAGCTGCTTTGATGAGCTCCAATAGCTCAGCGTCTGTTTCTTTGCTTGGTTTGGATGTGAGTTACAGCTGAAGGCAAACTCAAACATATAAGAAAAACTTACTTTTGGTTGATAAATTAGATGCTAGTTACATTTTACAGTTGAATCATCAGAAAGCAAAGCAGATTCCAGCCCTATTTTATTTTATTACATAAGAAATCAGTCAAGTAATCCTGCCAGGGTGGCCAGGTTACTTGACTAACTCCCAGCCTGAAAATATCTCCCAGTCCAGCCCTGGTCCTGGTCCTGGGCAATGACAGTCTGATCCCCAACCTCTTCAATCTCTGCAGGAATGCTGACAGAACTCTAGCTCTTAGCTTTCAAAGACAGCATTTTAATGTGACACTGAGCATGTGAGCTCCTTAGGACCAAAGCAACTGACTCCCATCATGATGAAGTGCTTCCAAAGGTTGGTTAAAGAACACATCGTCTCCAGTCTGCCGCCAACATTCGACTCGTTCCAGTTCGCCTACCGACGGAACCGCTCCACTGAGGACGCCATCTCTGCTGCTCTCCACCTGAGCCTGGCACACCTGGAGGAGAAGAACACCCACGATGGATGCTGTTCCTGGACTTCAGTTCAGCTTTCAGCACCATCATCCCACAGCATCTGATGGGCAAACTGGAACAGCTGGGCTTCAATACACCCCTCTGCTATTGGCTGCTAGACTTCCTCACCAACAGACCTCAGTCAGTCCGGGTTGGACCTCTGATGTCATCGGTCTAAGCCCCTCCCCTCAGGGCTGCGTCCTGAGCCCCCTGCCGTTCACCCTGATGACACACGACTGCGTCCCCAGGTTCACCACCGATCACATTGTGAAGTCATCACAGACACCCCCACCTGGACTGGAAACACCACCTCACTGGTCCAAAGGGCCCAGAAGCGCTTGGACTTCCTGCCCCCCCATCCTCCCCACCTTCTCCAGCAGCACCATGGAGAGCGTTCTGAGCAGCTGTCTCACTGTGTGGTGTGGAGGCTGCAGCGCCTCAGACTGGAAGAAGGTGAGAACAGCAGAGAGGATCATGGGGGCTCCTCTTCCCTCCATTAAAGACATTTTATCCCAGCGCTGCGTGTCCCGAGCCCGTGACATCATCAATGACCCCTCACCCCCCCACCATGGACTGTTCTCCCTGCTGCCCTCTGGGAAGAGGCTTCACAGCATTCAATGCAGGACCAGCAGGTTCTGCAGCAGCTTCCTCCCCACCGCCATCACACTGATGAATGTTTTATAAAATGGGTTATTGTATTATATTTTATTATATTTATCATATTTCATCATATATATAAAAAACTGAAAATGTTAGAGCTATAAATTTACAGTCATATGTTTATATTACTCTTTTTATATATTTTTTACTATTTAAAAAAAATTGTTGTCCAGAGAGCTGTTCTTTACGAAATTTATTTTTGTTTTACACTTGTGTAAACAAAATGACAAATAAATCTGTATAAGACTGAGCCTTTAGTCGCCATCTAGTGGATGAAGGTGAAAGCAGCAGGCAAACAAGAAATAACCCACAAGGAGAAACCTACCCAGTTCCCAATAGACTCTCAGAGAATCTCTGGCAAAGGCAACTAAAACAATGTGGTTTAACTTTTGATCTTAAAATTGATTGATTGACGTCTTTATTGAACTCACAGTGGAGAAATGTACTTGTTACATCAGCTCAAATAGTCCAAAAGAGAAGAAGAAGTGAATGAGATATATACACCTTAATACAGTGCAACCACATATGAAAGCTTTTTTTTTCTTTTTTTTATTGCAGGATTATTTTACAGGGTTATTGCATTGGTGGTTTACATGGGTATTTATATATAGAGTTATTGTACCACTTGGTGTCAAATATAAAGAAACCGGTTATTGAACAGGGTATTAAATAGTAATTGAACATTATGCATTGCCCTAGTTACTGCCGGTGGCAGCAGAGATGAATGACCTGAAGAAGCTCTCCTTTTTAAAGGCAAACTAATACTGAACATCCTTGTAACCAGGAACAGATAAAAATGCATTTGCCAAGTCAAACTCCTGGAGATGAGTCTCCATTCGTCAGGGACTCCAGGGGGGGCTAATCTTTTTCACAGTTGAATTGGAACATGAAACAATAGTCCCACTTTTAAGAAGGGCCAGATTCCCCCTCAAATTTTTTCTTCTTAGAAACAGTTACTGGCAGTAATACTTTATCCTAGTCCTGAAAATCCTGGGCCATCTTCAGCCATCGCAGTTTCATCAACATCAAAAAATCCTAACTGTGTCAGGATCCGGGGCTTTGCCCACCAGAGGGCGCCGTGGATCCAAGCCTGGGGAGCTTGGATTCAGCATGTACAGCTGTTTTTCATTCTGCTGATTAAGGAAGCTCTTCCTATATAAGCTGAGTGTGACCTTCCCTCTGAGCTGGATCGTTGTGTTTTACCTGTGCCACCATGCCTGTCTGAATCTGCAACCTGTAAGTCTGTCAACCGGTTCCAATAAAATACTGGACTTTTAATCCTCCCTCTGTGTCTGTGAGTCTGCATTTGGGCTAGTAAAACCATCGCATCATGACAGAACGATCCAGCCAACGGACTAGCCCAGCAGACTCCTTCTACGCGCTCCTGGAGAGGCCCGCTCTGTGTCGTCTGGAGACCCCTGAGCCCGCTCTGTGCCGTCTGGAGACCCCTGAGCCTGCTCTGCGTCTTCCAGAGACTCCGGATGTGGAGCCACAATCGGTGGTTCCCTCTGTTCCTTAGGTGGAGCCACAGTTGGTGGCTTCCTCTGTTCCGGATGTGGAGCCGCAGTCGGCGGCTTCCTCTGCTCTGGAGGTGGAGCCGTAGTGGGCGGACCTGTTAGAGCCTGTTGCAGAGCAGCGGGAGCGGAGACGGCGTCCTTCTCGGGGCTTCTTGCTGAAGCGGAGACAGAGTTTCTCCCGGTGCTTCCTGCTGAAGCGGAGGTGACGCCCTCCTCCAAGGCCCCTGCAGCTTCTGAGACTCTGCTCTACTGCCGGTTTCATGGCCGGCCACCTGAGACTCTTCCTGGCATCCCTGGTTCGCCTTTCGCCCTCCATGGGCGAGTTGTTTTTTTTTCTTTGGGGCGTCTGGAATCCGCCCTTGAGGGGGGGGGTACTGTCAGGATCCGGGGCTTTGCCCACCAGAGGGCGCCGTGGATCCAAGCCTGGGGAGCTTGGACTCAGCATGTACAGCTGTTTTTCATTCTGCTGATTAAGGAAGCTCTTCCTATATAAGCTGAGTGTGACCTTCCCTCTGAGCTGGATCGTTGTGTTTTACCTGTGCCACCATGTCTGTCTGAATCTGCAACCTGTAAGTCTGGAAACCGGTTCCAATAAAATACTGGACTTTTAATCCTCCCTCTGTGTCTGTGAGTCTGCATTTGGGCTAGTAAAACCATCGTATCATGACAAACTGTCCATCTTCTCTAATGGGAGGTGTTGGAGCTATTTATTCTTTATTTCATTATCCATTTGAATAGTGTTAATTCCTAAACTTATATATTTTTTGTATTATTTACAGACTTTATTTATAGTTTAATTGCTGAATTTTGTGTGTTTATTTTTTGTTGTTTTATCATTTTTTCTTTCTTTATTATGTAAAACAGGAAGAAATGTGGGCGGTCCACTTTCTATAATTGTAGGAGCCTGGTAAGGACCAGCAAGCATTCAGGTTAGGCGCCTATGGGTTTTTACCAGCGCAAGAGAGGTGACAGAGCAAGGAAAGTTTGAACTCTGTAATGTTGCAAAAATATAGGAAATACATCGACTGAATATCTACAAGTTTGGACTTCAACTTCTCTTGCCTGCGTAAAGAAAACGTGACCCCAGTGCCTATAGTGGCTTATTGGAACTTTACTGGATGTTTGGTTTGACAAACAATCGCCACTACAGGAGGCATAAAACAATGGAAATGCAGAATTTTTCCATAATTCCCATAAAGAATCCAACAAATATGGAACTGCTGACCTTCCTGCATAAGAAGAAGCTGACAGAAATTTACCCTCACATGTGGGTTGCTCTGAGAATCTCTGCCTCTCTTCCTGTAACAGTTGCTGCTGCTGGAAGAAGCATTCCCAAGCTTCAACTCATTAAGACATACCTGAGAATCTCCTATGATGTGAAAACATCTCAGTGGACTTTCATAAGTATTAATTATGTGATCTCAAATCAGCTGTCATATGATGTTATAGATCACTTTTCTACAGGAATTAGGAGAGTAAATCTGCAGCAGGTAAGTGTATAAAGTGTAGGACTAAAAACACATCACAAAAGGTCCACACCCCCTTGTGAAATGCGCCGCATCATGGCAGCCCACTGCTCCCCAGGGGGAGGGGTTAGATACAGAGGGAATTCCGTTGCTCCGTACTTGTGACAGTGGAATAACAATAAAAATTAAGCTGAAAAAAATACGTTTTATTTTGTAGATATTTGAATATGGCACTGTGCAAAGGCTGTTAAAATTATAATTTTGTATTATTTACACTTAATTTTTACTTCATTATCATATTTAATTGGTTTGAATTTTATTTAAATCGGTTTTCGTTTTTTCAGCCTTTTTAGTTTTATGTGTGAGCATGTAAACTGTAATGGGGGGGGGGGCACCTAAAGTCCTGCCTAAGGCACCAAATTTGTTAGGGCCGGCCCTGCAAAAACCAGCCTGCAGTGAATCTGGTCAGACTCCAACTCGTTGATAATTATGAAAACAATGCTGGTCATGTGTGCGCGTGGCTTTCTAGCGCGTGGTCTTGCTTGTCTTTTGACCGATAGTTACCCTTGTGGTCCCCTGGAGATCCGCCGCTGGCCGGCCTCCAGCACGCGCCACCTTCACTGGTCCAATCACAACAGCCTTCATCATCTCTCTCTCCCTACGAGACGCACTCGCGTTCCTTGTGCCAAACACGAACACGCGTGGCGAAATAGGATCCACGCTCCTCCACAGGAACAGATTCGGACACCTGGATGAAAACCTTCTACGGTGAGTTTTCTCCTCGTCAACTGAAAACGATAGAAATATGGTTTTGGACTTAATGATGATAAAAACATTTGCAACAAATAGTTTAGTTGAAGCTTTTCATCCAATTAAATGTTAGAATGAGCGACTTCAACAGATCAGTTACTGAAAAAACTCTAAATGATCCAAAAATGTCCAGCTGATAAACATCACAGACCGTCAATAGTTTCTAAGGAGGTTTTTCCTTCATTTCCATTGTAGTTGCGACTTTGAGACGTTTGGATTTAAAACAGAAATTTAATTTTGGAATAGAATACCGGAAGTTGCGTTAGGCTTATAATATTGTGACGCATCTGGATGTTGTTTCAGCTGCTGAGACCAAAATGGCATTATAATGAACTTCAGCGTGTGTGTGTGTGTGTGTGTGTGTGTGTGTGTGTGTGTGTGTGTGTGTGTGTGTGTGTGTGTGTGTGTGTGTGTGTGTGTGTGTGTGTGTGTGTGTGTGTGTGTGTGTGTGTTGGGGGGGTGGGGGGGGGACGTTTTTATGAAGGAGGACTCATCATTCATCATTAATAAAAACTCACATAGAGCCCTATTTTATGGTCTGATTGTGTTTTACTTAAGCCTAAGACAGTATAATATTTATAACCTAACATCAATATTATTGCTTTTTTTGTTTGTTTTTTTTGCACCTTAATTATATATTATATATAATATTTCCTGTGCCAGCAAAGAAAAACTAAATTAATAACTACATGAATAATAATGATAAATAATAATGATTTTTTTATAAATATCTGAGGATGAAAGTAACTAACGTTGAAGCGAGAGATTAAAGTTGCAAGTTAGTCAAAATAAAAAAGTAAAGGGTTCCATACTTTGAGGAATATTCTGGTTGATCCTCTAAGAAAGTATTTAACTTTTTAAATTTTTAGGAACATCATCATATCCATAGGCCACATTGATGCCCTGGGTGGAAACTGGGATCTCCATTCCATTCTCCTTCCAGCAATCAGAGTTGCTAAATTGAGAAGATTTTTCTTGCTAGTGGCTATCACAGCATCCACCCCATAGAGCCATTAAAGGACTAGGTTGTAGATCTACACCAAAAGCCACATTGAAAATCCCAAATACTGATTTCCAGAACTCTCCCAGCTTAGAGCACGACCAGAACATGTGAGCTAAGTCTGCGTTGGTGGTTATAAAGCGATCACGTATCTCATCTATTTCAGGGTATATTTTAGCAAGTCTGAGCCTATTATAGTGAATACAGTGAAGAACTTTAAATTAAATCAGATTGAGACGTACACAAGAAGAGCATCGCTGTTACCACAGTTCTCAAAAATTTTGGAGAAGTTATTTGTAATCAGATTAGATACATTTATTGATAAAAATAATATTTTAAGTAGAAGTCAATACGGATTTAGAGCCAAAAACTCGACATCAATGGCTCTTATGGAACTGATAGAACATATAACAAATGTAATTGATCAAAAACAATATTGCGCCAGTATTTACGTTGATCTAAAGAAAGCATTCGACACGATTGACCAAACGTATTAAATACGGGATTAGAGGGCCGGCATTACAGTGGATCTCGAGTTATTTGGAAAAAAGAAAGCAGTTTGTACAAGTACATAATACTAGATCCGAATTTTGTGAAATTACATGTGGAGTTCCACAGGGTTCAGTAAAAAATAAAAGACATTTGATGTTAAGACAATCATTCATTGAAATGTAGAAATATTGTTTTATTGATTTCTTATTTACTCTTCTAAGAAGATTTTATAACTTGTTTCGTTACAGTGCTAAAATGTTCAGAAAGTTTGCAGTAAAGGAAAGTTTGTGCATGGTATATCTGCTCATGTTTACGTCAGCAGGTACTTACAAAGTAGAGCAAAGCTGCGGTCTAATCCACACAATCCAAACAATTGTGTTTTTGCCATAAATCGAAATCCTAACAAAATCAGCTCAGTCGTTTTGCAAGCTTTTGATTATGTCATTATTTCATATTGGCCAAATGGTCCTGCAACCCCAATGCACATTAAACATTCAATTCCATTCACTTTATTTATTTACATAAGAACTGCCTTCACATAATGTCTTTCTTTTTTCCACACAGAAGCAGAAATGTAGATTTGGTTGAGCCTTGGGATCAAGCCATGTGTCGCCACATCGTCGTCTTTGTGAGGGCAATGTCAAAGTTTTAGCGAGACATCTGCCCGCCTGCTCAGCTGAGCGGGTGTCATCACCATTACGTTTGCACACAAAAGACTTCATTCAGTCCAGTCCTCAACCCCAATGCACAAAACACACCCCACCACTACAAAGAATATAACAATTTTATTCAGTTAATCCATAGCAAGGAGGCTCACTGCTAAGCTCCAGCTAGTAACATAAAAGCAGTCATTGAGCAACTACATGAAAGCTGCTTATTTGTCACAAAGGGTTAACCCTAAACCTAACACTAATAGTTCTTGACACAATGTTCTGTCATGTTCTTGAAAAATGGTGCTAAATAAGATCTACTATACACAAATGGAAATGATGGGAAGCTCTTTCTTTCTTTACAAATCTCTTTTTAAACCCACTTTTCTAGAACATCAAATTTCTTCTGATAGCAAGAAATAAGAACCCAAGCATACAACTTGCTTTTTGTATGATCCTTTTATCTCTGAATGGAGCAAGAACTGATTAACTTAACTCAACTAAAGCTAAAAGAAATTGCCAGCTGAAAGAAGCTGCTTTAATCACATTAAGCAGCAATGCCTTTCAATATGAGCATCTTTCACTTTAGTGGGGAACACTTCTGATCATATTGAAAATTGTTTTTATTACAACTAGTTATTATAAAGATAAATTATATTAACAATAGTGAGCTACGGTAGGTCGTTAAATACATTTAAAATAAAAGTATAATATTTGCAATACATACAGGACAGTGAAGGGAGACTCTTTGGGGGAGTATCTGGGCAGGTTCAGTGTGTGTGTGTGTGTGTGAATGTGTGTGTGACTGTGTGTGTATTTATGTATGAAGCGAGGTTTAGGCTCAAAGTTTGTCGGAGGGGTGGCAGCAGGAGGGTGGAAGAAGCTGTTCTTCAATTCAATTCAGTTTATTTCTATAGCTCCAATTCACAGCATGTCATCTCAGGTCACTTTCCAGTTCACCAGATCATCCAGTCAGATTGATTCAAAGTTTTCTATCTAAGGAAAACCAGCTGATTGCATCGACTCATTGACTCTTCAGCAATCCCTCACACTAAGCATGCTTGTAGTGACAGTGGAGAGGAAAAACTCCCTTTGAACAGGAAGAAACCTCCAGCAGAACCAGGCTCATTGTGAGCGGCCATCTGCTGAGGCCCACTGGGGTTCAAGGAGACAGAAGCAGACATAGAAAAAGAAGCATAGATACAAAAGGCAACTGTCAACCAGCTCCACAGGCGGCCCCGTCCAGGAAACACACAGCCAGGCAGACGAGCTCCGAGCCAGCTCCCATGTCAGAGGATGAAGAGAGCACATCCAGTTAGTCACAGTCAGAGAAACTGGACTACACTGGAAAACAGGCCAAGCTCCAACATCTAGAAACAAAGGTGTTGATGGCAGCAGCACAGCTGATGTTTCTTTCCAGGATGGAGTCACAGCCAAACAGGAACAGACCAGATGAAGCTACTATGAGAAAAAGCAGAGAGAGCAGAACGTTAGAGATTGAACTAACAGATTCTGCAGAATAGGAGATAGAGATAGAATGAAGCAGAATGATGAAATGGTGGTCCCTATGTCCTCCAGAAGTCTAAGCCTATAGCAGCAGAACTATAGAGATAGATCAGGATAACCTGAGCCACTCTAAATAGAAGCTTTATCAAAAAGGAAAGTTTTAAGCCTAGCCTTAAAAGTAGACAGGGTGTCTGCCTCACGGACTAAAACTGGTAGTTGGTTCCACAGGAGAGGAGCCTGAGAACTAAAAGATCTGCCTCCCATTCTACTTTTAGAAATTCTAGGAACCACTAGTAAACCTGCAGATTGAGAGCGAAGTGCTCTGTTAGGAACATAAGGAACAATCAGATCTCTGATATCAGATGGAGCTTGGCCATTTAAGGCTTTATATGTGAGGAGGAGGATTTTAAATTCTATTCTGGATTTAACAGGAAGCCAATGAAGAGAAGCCAGGATAGGAGAGATATGATCTCTCTTTTTCATTTTCATCAGAACTCTGGCTGCAGCATTTTGGATCAGCTGAAGGCTTTTAACTACAGTTTGTGGACTTCCTGATAGTAAAGAATTACAATAGTCCAGCCTTGAAGTAACAAATGCATGGACTAGTTTCTCAGCATCACCCCTGGACAGGAGATTTCTAATTTTTGCAATATTCCTCAGATGAAAGAAGGAAATTCTAGAAACTTCTTTGATCTGGGATTTAAATGACAGGTCCTGATCAAAAACAACACCAAGATTTTTTACTTTATTATCTGAAATCAGTTTAATCCCATCCAAATTAAGTGACTGACTAATCAGCTTCTTTTTCAGAGACTCTGGTCCAAAGACTATAACTTCTGTTTTGTCTGCATTCAGAAGCAGAAAGTTAAGAGTCATCCAGGTTTTTATGTCTTCAGACATGCCTGTAATCTATGTAATGGGTTAGCTTCATCTGGATTATAGACAGATATAGCTGGGTATCATCAGCATAACAGTGGAAATTAATCCCATGCTGTCTAATAACTCTACCGATTGGGAGCATGTATAAAGTAAAGAGAATTGGTCCTAGCACTGATCCCTGTGGTACTCCACAGGTAACCTTTGAGCATGAGGAAGATCTATCATTAACATGAACAAACTAAATTTGATCAGATAGATCAGATTTAAACCAGTCTAGAGCTGTTCCTTTAATTCCAACAAAATATTCAAGTCTTTCTAAAAGAATATTATGATCAACTAGATCAAATGCAGCACTAAGATCCAACAGGATGAGCACAGATACAAGTCCATTATCTGAGGCCATGAGAATATCATTAGTGACTTTCACCAGA